CTGGCCATGGCACCCATCCACCCAAGCTCCCAGTGGAGGCTGGCTGGAAGCAGGTATCTGGGATTTATTTATCTTCTATAATTGGAACTTTGTTGCCTTGAGTGGAGACTACAGCCGGCCAGGGAAGGAAGGAAGCTTGGCTTCCTCCATCACCAGGACAACAAGCCGCCTGCTTGCTCCAGCTTCCTGGCTGCCGGCAACCATTTGGGTTGGGTTAATTTGCATATAGTTGCTCTGATTAGCTGGCAGGCATGGTTTGTGGGCATAGCTTGTGAGTGTAGCGGAGGTATGGTCAATTTGCATATTTCTCTTTTATTAGATAAGATCTGCATATCCCATGGACACAGACAATAGTGTAATGAAGGCCTGGGGTGGGGCGGGTGCTGGGTGAAGAGGAAAAAGGCGGGGATGGGTGGCATCTGTAATAATGTCAATAATAAAAATAAATGTTTAAAAATGTTTAAAAATAAAATAAAGTAGAAGTAACTTTTTGAGTTATTTCCCAATCTGGTTGTGTGCTGATGTATAATACAACTGAGAAAAGAGTTTAAAACTCTTTATCCAAGTAACAAAGATTTTTCCAAATATATTTTGCCCACTGATTTTCAAGGAATGATGTAAAAAAAAGAGAGAAGAGGATGAAAAAGTGTGTGTGTGGGTGGGGGGTGGGGGTGGGGAATGAATCAGTTTAGCCAAATGGAAAATCTGATCCCCTTTTGCAAACTTCAAACTTGAATTGTATCTATCTTGTTTTCTAAGTTGAATGATTTCTTTATGGAAATAGACATTTAAAACAAAAGGATAGTTTTTTAAAAAAGGAATTGAAGACTGGCTAGTTTTTTCCCTTTTGGATTACACTCATTTTAGTTGCAGATTGTAAAGTACAAAGTCACTTGAACTGAAATTCTGCACCCTATCACATGCTAACTTTGCCTCAAATAACAGCAGGCTTGTTATTATTTTTGTTGTTGTTAATCCTTGCCTGAGGATATTTTTCCATTGATTTTTAGGGAGAGTGGAAGAGAGAGGGAAAGGGAGAGAGAAACATTGATGTGAGAGAAACATATTGATTGGTTGCCTCCTACAAGAATTCCTACCAGGGCCCAGGCCGGGAGAAGCCTGCAACCAAGGTACATGCCCTTGACCAGAATCAAACCCAGGACCATTTGGTCCATAGGCCAACTCTATCCACTGAGCCAAAGTGGCTAGGCCAGGCTTGTTTGTTTGTAATACTCAGTTTGTAACAAATATTTTACTTTTTATTATAACGTAAGTAAAATGTGTCTCATGTTAGCAATTGTCTTTAAAAAAATGTTTTCTGACATTATGTAAATAAAAACTCCTCTTTAAGAGTTTTTGATGATTTACAGGGTAGAGAAGACTTCTTGAAAAAAATCACTCGAAGTGAAGTGGCTAATGGAATGATACTTCAGGTAATCCTAATTTGCTTTTAATATTTTATTCTTCCTTTAATTTGCGTTTTACTTAGCATTTTAAATTTGTCTGCAATGAGGCCTCTTTTACTGCTTGGCTTGCAAGCCAGCAGTTTTCTCTCCGTAGCTGAGGACAGTTGCCCTCCATGGAGGACCAGCGTGTCTGGTCATGCAGAAAGGGACTGATCTCTGAGCTGTCTCGCATTCTGTGGCATGCTGGGAGTGTCTGCCAGTCCAGTGAAAGGGCAGAGGGAGCTTCTTGCTCAATGTCTCTTCCGTTTTCTTTGTGACGATGCTACGTTTTCTTCACTTTTAGTGTCTTTCCATTGAACTTCCTTATTTAACATTAAAAGAAAAATATGCTGTGATTTTTCTATGTAAAACAAAATCGGGAGTGAAGCATTATAGCTATAAAATCAGTTTTAATTATTAATTATTTTTTTAATATTTATCTACACCATATACATATTCTTTGAAGCCCAGATTGGGTGTTTTGATCCCTGGCATCTTTCTAGAATGTCTCCCCTTCAAAATACATAAATATTTAAAATTATTGTTATAGGAATACTAAAATCAAGAGACAAAACAGCCCTAACTGGTTTGGCTCAGCGGATAGAGTGTCGGCCTGCGGACTCAAGGGTCCCAGGTTCGATTCCGGTCAAGGGCATGTACCTTGGTTGTGGGCGCATCCCCAGTGGGGAGTGTGCAGGAGGCAGCTGATCGATGTTTCTCTCTCATCGATGTTTCTAACTCTCTATCCCTTTCCCTTCCTCTCTGTAAAAAAATTAATAAAATATATATTTTTAAAAAGAGAGAAAACAATTCAAAACAGTGTTACTTTTCAAGATGATTTGAGATTATTTGCACCTCTGGTCCTCTTTGAAAGAAACACACATTTTGGAATTTCTTCTATTAGGAAATTTGACATTTTCAAACATATAAAGCATTGTTTCTCTACTTCCATATGTTTGAAAATGCCAAATTCCCTAATTTATTTGCATATTTAATCTATAATCTCTCAGCTCTTTTTGCTTAATATTTTGTTATTAACTTATTATCGGTGGGTTTTTTTGGTCTTTGATTTCAGGAATTAACAAATATTTCAATATTTATTGTTAGTGTGTTCTCTAACCTTATGATCTTCTAATATTTACTTAAGAACATTTGATTTTTATTGTTCATCGATATTTTTCTCATCTTTTAAAAAATAACTGGACATGCTTTACATTGGTTATATTTATACCTGTTGCTTTTAATGGTGGCATTTATTTTCAAATAACAGCAAATATTCCTGCCTGATGGAGACAATAAATGTCTAGGTAATTAATAACTGAATGAATTGCTTTATATCTTTGCTGGCAGAAAAAACTGTTTTCCCTGCAAGAAGAAGAGCAACTTGAGAGGGAGGAGCTCATAAGGAGGATAGCGATCTACTCCCTGACCCTGACAGAAATAGAGGAGCCTCTGCTTCAGATGGAAGAAAATGCGGAGCAAATCAAAGCTCTCCACAAAGAACACTTCAATGTAAGCATCTCCCGCTAATCCAGACACCTATTTCCAGGAATGCTTAGGTTGACAAAGCAGGGATGTGGTAGTAGGTTATTACTTGGAAAATTGTGATTTCACCTAGGAAGACATAGACTCGGTGACAGAATAAGTAACTCTTTCATGAGTCCACAGCTGACCTACAGTGGAATTACACAGAAGGGCTCTGAATGCCGCAACCTGGAACCTTATTCTGTCTCTTCGAGTGTACTTAGGAAACACAGTTTTCCAATAGGTGAGTAGTGATCAATTGGGTGTGATTGCCCTCTCTGGCAGATTTAATTCAGAGTCTTCACTGCTCATTAATAAAACCAAAGCTGTCTTTACTCAAATATAAAATACAGTGCATCTTGACATTTTCATGGTAAATGTTGGATGTGTGTAGAAAACAGCGAGGGTGAAAAATAAAGCAAATGTCGATAAGATATTTTCAAAACAAGTTCATGGCAGTAACTGATATTACCCGCCCTTCCCAAGGAAATATTTAGTAGAAAAATATGTGTACATCATGTCATTAGTCTTTTGGAGAATAGAGGGTGTGGTAAGAGTTATACATTCTCGTCTTTAGCTACCAGGAGTATATACATATTCATTTGGGCCATTTTGACAACAGGATTTTTTTTTTTTTATCATTGCAAATGACGGTGTAACTTTATATTGTTAGACGTTAATAATTTTCAGGTTTTCTGTATTTTAAAATCTTTGTGATCTGCAAAGTGTTCCTAATATGAAAGTTTATTTTGAGCCTCAAAGGCTCTCTATGGAATAGGCAAGAGAAAGAAGAGAAAGTTTAACTGTATCTTAACTTAAGAAAACTTGAGCCTAAATGCAAGAGGCAGGTTGTACAAGTCCATGAAGCATGGACACAGCCAATGCTGGGTAGGCTTCTAAATGCTTATCATCGAGCTCATATAACTAACAACAAGCGAGAGAAATGATTTCAGTAAGGACTCCTCCTCACATCAATGATAGAAATTTATTAATTGCATCAAAAGCCTCAGTACAGTCATCTGAGGCTGATAATGAATTCCAGAAAAGTTGAATGACTTTCATTTCCCCTTATTTTATAACTAGAGGCCCGGTGCACAAAAATTTGTGCACTCGGTGGGGAGGGGGTCCCTCAGCCCGGCCTGTGCCCTCTCGCAGTCTGGGACCCCTCGGGGGATGACCACCTGCTGGCTTAGGCCTGCTCCCCAGGGGGATTGGGCCTAAGCTGGCAAGCAGACATCCCTCTGGCAGCCTGGCCGCCCTCGGGGGATGTCCACTTGCCAGCAGGGAGCAGACATAAGCCACAGTCGGACATCCTTAGCACTGCTGGGGAGGCGGGAGAGGCTCCCACCACCACCGCTGTGCTGGTAGCCATCAGCCTGGCTTGTGGCTGAGCAGAGCTCCCCATGTGGGAGCGCCCTGACCACCAGACGGCAGCTCCTGCCTT